CTTTCCTACAAATTTCTTACAGAGATAGAGATATCTTTCAGAATCTTAAGGAAAAAAAATGGATTGTATCTGTACAAATGATATATATGTATATATATATGACATATATGTATATATATATATATATATATATGATATATATATATAAATGATATATATGTATGATATAAATGTATATATGCAATATCCGAGCAAAATCCCTTCTAGAATTTTCAAAGGACTTCATCTTGTCACTGGTTGTACAGGAAACTTGAGGCACAATTTTGGACTGTTGTGCCCAACTCCTTCAATGTTAGACGTTAGTCTTTCTAATTAGTCCTTGTCTGAGAACGAAAAGTGATTTACATTTGGAAACAGGTGAGATCTATATTAGGGAACTTAGATATTTATAACATATTAGGTGTTTATAATATATATATATATATATATATATATATATAAATCTGAGATATCTGTCTAAAACATCCCCCTTCTATATTCAGTAGATGAACAGACATTTACTTAGTTAATTTCTTCTTCTTCATATCAAATATCTCTCAATTGTGGTGCACTTCATGGTGGAGACATACAGAGTCAGGTGAGAAGATTTCTTTCAGGAGGTTGTGATGGAAGGGCTGACCACCACTCCCAGGGGATTCAGAGAAACTGCAACACGTGGCCCCACCAGCCTTGAGGATCGTTTATACTTTTGAAGGCAGTGGCTGCCATGCTACATATCCCTTCACTCTCTGGTTTTGCAGTGCCACTGCTGCTGCCCCATTCCTTTCATTCAGACAATCACATGTGTACTTCTAACCTTTACTGTAATGCCCAAATATTTGCTAATATTTTGAAAGTAACAATGAAAAAACAAGAATCTTACTTGAATGTGCACGACCAACACTCCCTTATTCTGATCATCTCAAGTTGTATATTCTCAGCAAAATTTAGAGGGGATTATGCCACACATAAGCTGTTGTGCACATATCTTCCCAGTCTCAAAAGCATGGCTGCAGTACTTGAGCAGTGAACCAGACACCCCTGATGAAGGCTGTGATTAAACACTCACACTATTATCCTGATTTATATGCAAATAAGCAACATCAAAATGTTTGTGGGATTCAAACAGTAATCACTGACCCACTTCAACAAATGAGGAAGGCAATCATGCTCCACGTAAGGACAGTGAATACATTTCTTTTTGCCATTCATTTGAGCAGAAAGCTCTCGAATTTAATGTTTTATGTTCAGAATATAAATGAGTTTCCTCTTGTCTGAAGGTTTATTTCTGTAAGATTGAAGAGAATGTCACACTGTTTTGTTCATATGTTACCCTTCCTTATTAAAGATACATTTGAAATTCAAAGACGCATCTGAAATAAGGGAAAAAAACCCCCAAACCCCGCATAGTTAATCTGTTTGCAGATGTTTAATCAACAACAGAATAAAAATAAAATGCATGTCTTTAGTTTCACGTCTACCGCGTGATCCCGTAGCACCACCTGCTGTTCACAGAGAGCAGTGCTGCTTTAGTTATATGCAATAAATACTATTTTTATATAGAAATATACATACGTTCCACAGGCACCTCTACGGTTTAACCTTTTTGAATGGCTATGAAAAAGGCTTATAAATTTTGTACCATCAGAAATGTCAATCCTTTATAGGAAAGGCAAGTATTTAAACAGTGACAGACTTTTTGCAATGTACCCCATAATATTTAACAGTGCCAAGAGATTTGTTTACTGGAAAACGTCTATTTAGATGCTTTACTCTTACTGTTTTCTTTGTGGAAAATATTTTGGCTGAAACTCATATCTTGGCAGCAGCAAATGGTCTGGTAAATTAGAAAACCATTACACTGGTTCTAGTAAAGGAGAAAATAGAGCTGTGATTTTTTGTAAGTGGGAATACAATTCTAAAGCATTTACAGAGATCTGTTTGAGTTTACAGAAATTTAGTGTTAGTAAGTCAGGAAATTGTCTCATAAATGAACAAAGGATAATATATTTTTTGTCCAAATCTAAGCTCATTTAAAAGTAATTCATGAGCATATAATTTGCCCTTTTCCCTTTCTCTGTTTCTCTCCACTCTTGCCTTGGTGCTGGCAAATCATGACATTTAGCGCATTACTTGGTTTTCTCTGAAGCTTTGAGCTGTGTCTTGCGTTGGGAACACAACGAGGGGGACAGCACCTGCAGCTGGTGCTGCTGTGGTGCAGAGATGCCCCACAGAAGAGCACCTTTGCCAATGCCAATGCCAAAGCCTACTCCTTCCTCCCATTTCCCTGAGTGTCTCACAAGGTCCCGGTGTACAGGTGTTGTTTCTTCTCCAGCCTTACTACCACACTCCTGCTCATGGAATCTATGGAAAGGAACTAAGTCATTCACTTATATCTTATGCCTTTCCTCAAGGTTGGATGTGGAATTTGTCCAATTCTGCCTGGGTGGTTAAAAAATTCATTCTGCTTCTCACAGTGTCTCCTGGGTTGCCCAGAAAGGAGGTGGGTCTTTTGTGGTGTCTGTTACTGTGCAGCTGCAATCTCTCACAAAAGCATGCTCTGGATCTCATTGCTCCACTGTCATTATGATTAAGACTTTAACACCTTAAAGGTTTTAAAAAGTCTAAGACCAAAGAAATTTCAGCACTTTTTCAGTTGGTTCAGGAATAACATATTCTGCCATGCAGTCTCTTACCACTGCCATTGACATAATTATGGCTGTAGGAGTCCATGGAGTGCAGACAGCCTTGCCAGCATGAGCCCTGGCCTGGTGATGTGATGGGCTCCCTGGGTGTGTGATGGTCCCTGGGTGTGTGAAGGGCTCCCTGGGTGTGTGATGGGCTCCCTGGGTGTGTGATGATCCCTGGGTGTGTGATGGTCCCTGGGTGTGTGAAGGGCTCCCTGGGTGTGTGAAGGGCTCCCTCGGTGTTAGACCACCTCTCTGTGACAGGAAAAGGCTGCTAGGCTGTCCTAGTGCTTTGCTGAGGCAGCACTGGATAAGCTGAAGTGCAGGACGTGGATTTGTGCATAAGACATTAACCTGCAGTTCAGGGGCATCATCCAGGGAGAGGAGGCATTGAGCTGTGCATAAAGCAATCAGGAACAAGGTGTGTGTCATTGTTAAACCTCAGTCAGAAACTAAGACAGCCTCATGCTGCCACTTGCACACTTTTCCTGGTGGGATAGGGAGAGAGAATCAGAATAATAAAAGAGAGGGAATTTGTGGGTTGACGATAAAGATAGTTTAACAGGGAAAGCAGAAGTTATGCATGCAAGCAAATCAAAAATTGGAATTAATTCACCACTTTTCACAGGCAGGCAAAGAGAGTTTAAGTGGCAAGTGGTTTAAATGGAATAACTACAAATTCACTGTGGTAAAAAAAGTGAAAATAGATCAAAGACATTGAATGAGAGATCTAGACAGACTTCTAAGGAATGCTGGTGATGCATGCAAGAGTGCGGTCAGTATTTGCACTTCTGATGCAAGAAAGCACAAAAGAGAAACTGTGGACAGCTGTTAGTCTGAGAGGAATAAAAAATCCCCTGTAGCTGTTCCTGCATTCTGAATGAGAGATAAATTTCACAGCATGAGAGTGATAAATTCAGAAGATGGAAAATCATGGAAAATGAGCACCAGTTTATTCCAGATGGAATGCCTTGTAGGCATTACCTACTTCTTGAGGGTAAATTTAATAAAACTGGTGGAATTTAAATAAAGAGCCAGGAGAAAGCAAAAGCCAAATTTCTATAGTAGTCATTGTACAGTGGAAAAGAAAGAGCTGAACAATTCAACAGGTGCCTTAAGAAAACAGATTGCATCTGTCGAAGTAACTAATTGAAGAAATAGTTACTTCAGTGGAAGTGGAAAGATTTTTTTAAAAATTTATGTAAATCAAAATTTATTGGAAAGATAAACATGCACATTTGACTTGGATCAAGATAAGCCCAATACATTACAAAAGGAATGATGAAGATTCAGTGCACTACTCAGATGCAGGGCTCCAACTGTACAGAAGCAGTTTCCACTGGATTTTAAGGAGTAATATATAGCACAAGTGCCCATAAATCTTACTGAAATAAAATTGTGTGTGTGCCAGGCTTAATGACTGGGGGACACTGAAATGGCACTGCACATGTAGCATCTAATTCAGAGAGTTTGTTGATTCTCAATATGCTATTTCTCCTCACTTGCAATAATTATCCCAGTAATTCAGGGTTAGTGTATAACTGAAGCAAAGGACCCAGACATACCTTCCTGTCAGCAGCAACAGCCAACTGTAATGCTGAATATTTTTAAATTAATATATCCACCCTGGGCCCATTGGTCCTAAACACATTCGGAAGGAAAATTTGTAAACCTGGCGAGAGGCCTGTCAAGTAACTGAGTTTTTCTGCTATAATCTAGGACTGAGACAAAGTTCATTTCTCCAGAGCAGCCCTCACAGTGCTGTGCTGTGCACTGGTAGCTAGAAAGGCACTGGTAACACACCAGTGTTTTGGCTGCAGCTGAGCAGAGCTGGCACAGCATCAGCACAGTCTCCCCAGCTTCCTGGCCAGGGGTGGGCAGGATCCCAGGACAGCTGACCCAAGTAGTCCAAAGGGATATTCCATGCCATATGGTGTCAGCTCACATATAAAAGCTAAGGCAAGGAAGAGGAAGGGGGGAATTGGTTATTTACAGTATTTGCCTTTTGGAGCAATCCCTATGCGTGCTGAAGCGCAGCTTCCTGGGAAGCGGCTGAATGTCACTGCCAGTGAAATAGTGAATTAACCCTTCTTTTTCTCTTTCTTTGCTTGTGTATGTGGAAATTTTTGCTTTTGCTTTAGTAAACTACCTTATCTCAACCTATGAGTTGCTTTCCATCTTGTTTTCTCTCCCTTGTCCAGCTGGAAGGAGAGAGATAGAACAGCTTGGTAGGCACCTGGCATCCAGCCAAAGTCAACCCAAGAAATTCCATAAAAGAAAGAGAAATTGAGCATTTTGGGTTTTCCCCATGTTTAAAGAAATCTATGCCACAAACAATATTCTTAATTTTAATACTGTAAGTCTTAGTAAAAGCAAAAATGTATCAGCAATGCAAATCCCATGTTAAACCTCACAAATTTTGGAGGGAATAGAACTTTGCTAAGACAAAAGCTTATGGTGTTGCTATTCTTTTGCCATGTCTGAGTTCTCACTGCCATTCAAGGACTACTGTAAACTTTTGAAATGGGTTGTCAGTCTTAAAATATACAGCATCAGCAAAGGATTTGTAGTACATTCATGCGACTTCTAAAATTGCCAAATCATTTAGCAATTTCATATAGCATTTTGTAATAACTTTTAAAGATCTCTTACTTTGTAAAACATTACAAAATGTGCAGTTCAGAGAGGCCACCTGGACAATGCTCCCAAGACAGGATCAGATATGGCAGCAATGTTTCTACAGTATACATAACAGCCCTTGTGATTTCATAACAGACAAGGCAGAACAGGAATGTTCTCTTGTTCCAGGGAGGGCAAAATGAGTGAGTCAGAGACATGGTAAATAACTCACCATATTGTAAGTGACCTTTGTCCTTTAGCAATTTTACCAAGCACAGCCTGTGCTTCAAGTCTGAAAGAAGTTAACAAGTTGCAGGACAAAGCAAGCCTAATCCAGTGATTACTAATGCAGACTAACCTCCTACAGCACTGTGCTTGAGCAACCCAACTTCTGCCCTTTAGGATGTTTCAAGTCTCAAACATTTTGAAATTGGAACTTATTTTCTAGTTGGAGGCTGGCTTTGTAGCCAGTGTAAACTGATTCTCAATTCCTTATGAAAAGATTAAAAGAACAGCTTAGAAAGCATGTACAAGACTTTTCTAAATAACATTGAAAAGGAACCCATCTGCTTCAATCCTAGACTGAACTTGTGGTGGTGGGGATGAACCATTTCGAATAATGAAAAACACATTCTCAAGCAATCTAATGGTTGTGGAATATAATACACTAGAAAAGTTCAGCCGGAAGGGGTGTGACAAGGATCACCTAGCACAGCCATGATGTCAAGTCAGGAATCAGAAGATCTAGGACTTTTTCACTGTACTGGAGCATACAGCAAGGCACTCTGACAGAATAAGGAGAAAGTATTTAAGCAAATTAATTTTCCTTGAAATGAATTATAGTATGTGTTTACTATAGTGATAACCCATGCATTAGAAATAGTTAATAAAATCAGGAAAAGGGAGTAAATTTCTCGTTTTGTAATTCTGTTTCTTGCAAAGTAAAATTCTGGTACTTTCACTAGCAACCTGCTCTGCAGAACAGTTTCCTTCGGTGTATTATTAAGGGTATATGCATTGCCAAGCTGTATGCTGTAACAGAATCAATGCAGACAGCATTCACTAAATAGAGCTTGCCCTTTTACTAACTAGCAAATACATCTGTGATTAAGATTGCTTTCCACTTGAGCTGAATCATAACAAAAAAAATTAAAAATGAGATGTGCGCCTGTCCACTGGAACCATATTCTTATGAGAATTTTTGTTTCTAGAAACAAAATAAACACCCTTTATGCAGAAACAATTTTAATAAGATCAAAGTGTACAAAAAACTATCAGAACAAATGTTAGGTGAGCAGGAAACTGAAGAGCAATTTTGACCTCACTGGACAATGCATATATGTAGGTATATATGCTATCATATATGCTTCATCCTATATGCTTATTCTGTCCATTCTACTGCTGTCCCCAGCGCAGGCATTGCATGTTTCAGAGAAGCCTGCAGCTAAGAAAGGGTTAAATTATCTTTTACTGTCTTGATTCACATATTTAAGAAAATTCGCCCAATTCAGGTTTTTTTTTTTTAAATTTTACCTGCCTGTCATGTTTTATAGACAACATTCTACCACTTAGCTTTGTTTGATGTTACATTTTAAAGAATGCTATTCACATGATTTTCATTAGATGTTTAAAACACCACAACTGGAAAAAAGTTAATTTGTCCAAAAGTACAGTCAAAGAGGTTAAAAAGATATTCGAGAACCATCAACTGAAAGCCTTTACTGTATCATAGTCACTTCAAGTGTTGTAAAGTAGTTTTCTACCAACTTGAGCTTTTCTTCAGAAAGCAGGTTTTCTTGCTTCAATTGTCTAATAAGAGCTTCCAAGGACCTGAGTCTTCCCAAAGTTTTTACCTCTTGCATTTCAAGTAAAGTTACCTTAGAGTGGAGTTTTGAAATTTTTTTCCAAAGGTGATCTCTGTCTATGTCTTGTCTGCAGTATGAATGCTCAGTCTGCAGTATTTCATTTCCGTCATGTTCAATCACTTCTGTCTCCTCTATGTCAAGAAACTCTTCCTTAACAGGCAGGAAAGAAGTATTTACTCTTTCAGGCTCTTCTGGACTCTCAGCTGGCATTATAATAGCAATTACAGACTCTTCACTTCCACTGAACTGTTCAATAGTTTGTGTGAGTGTACTCAGTAAAACCGCATCTTCACTTGTCTGCGCTTCACCAGAACAGACCACGTGAGGGACAGAATTTTCAACTGCATAGTCAGTAACCGACCCTAAAGCACTGTTCAGTTTCAGAGATGAATTCAAGTACTCAGGGTCTGTAAATTGCAGGACTGTAGCTGTACAACCTCCTGAATCCTCTACAGAAGTATGAACACTGGTAGCCTCCACGCTCTGGACTGCTGCTGTCATTAGAATAGGATTAGGCTGATGCACGTACTGCTTAGATGAACTAGCAAGAACGGCACTGTCTGCCTGGAAGCCACCTTCATATGGAAACTGCAGGTTTTGAATTTGCAAAGGTTCACTCAGTGCAGTTGAGTAAACCACTTCTGCTTTTTCCTCTACATTTCGTGCAATTACAGAATTCTTTGGTGTACAAAGTTCAAGTGGTACAGATACTTTCTCTGACACAACATTTGTTTCTTCTTGGTCTTTTTTCTGTACCTGCTGCGAACTGTTCTGAGAAGAATCTTTTTCCTGGAGGAGGAAAAAAAAAAAAAAGAAAATCACCACCTTGTAACAAGAAAATCACTGAGCATTAAAAAATTACGCAGATATCATTTCATAGCATGGTATTGCAAAAGGACTAACTTAGATGAGCACGGTTTAAAAATTACATCAGAGGCCCAAGAATTCATGTAAGTATCTTTCACAACTTTGCTTCAGGTCCTACATGTTAAAATACTATTTTAAAAGCTCTAAAAGCAATAATAGTGTTTGGGTTTTTAGTTTTCTTTTTTTTTTTCTTACTGTGTTTTGGGGTTTTTTATTTGTTTTACTGTGGGTTTTTTCCAAACTCTAGGGAATTTGGACTGTTTTACACATGATGCAGTAATTATTCTCATAAGAAATTTAACATTTTCTATAGTAAATGCTTCTGTAATCTCCAGTTAAGAAAAGATATTGAACCTCCAATCAAACTAGGGGAAGTTGTTCTTCCTTTACATTATGGAATCGCATACCTGTTTTTTGTCAGTCCTGCTGACAAATTGTATTGATGGACAGGAATTCTATTTTTTAAATAAAATATGATGATCTGACAGATTAGAAAATCTGTATTACATCAATAGTTGGTTAGCTTCATACCACAAAACAAAAAAAGGATAGAAATAGATTACCTCATCATCTGAGGAAGAGAAAATAGTTGGCACAGCAGTATTTTTCAAGTACCGTATCCCCCACCGCACATCCAGGGAATCGGGGGTAAAGTGGTCACTGCAGAGGAGCTGGTGCTTACTTGGAGTCCATGAATCTCGCTTCATATTCCGCAACCATTTCTCAAGTCTCTCTTTATCATGAAGTGGGAATCTTTTTAAAGCAGTTGAAAAGACAAACAAGAAAATATACAAAACCCCCTGTTATTGTTGTCTATCTTTGTTTTAAATAAGAATATCTCATTGTTACTTAGAAGGTAGGCTTCCTTTAGAAAAGATTATAATAACATTTTTTTCAAAAATTTTAGCTATTAAATGCTAATTTGGATGTTATGTACACGTTAATCCAACCACGAGACAGATTGTTTCTAGTTATGATTTCTACTAGCCAAGGGTTTCAGAATCCATGGCCAAGATGTTTCGAAAGGTTTGATCCTAACACTTGCTCAGAAATCAGTTCTGCTGAAGGGAGATCAAATACTGAGACATAATTTAAAGAAAGTTAAGACTAGTCCTCATTTTATTAATAGTATTTCTGGGCTTATTTTTCTTTCTAGACACAACTAGTATTTTCTGTTTAACAGAGTACCTCCTAATACATGCCCTCTTTGGATTGTCAGATAATTTGGCAATGTGAGTATTTCCAATACAGGTTTTAAATTTTGTTCAAAAAGTAAATGCATGCAGATGCAAAGCACTTCTATATTTTGTGTTTCAGCAATTAAACTTTCTCACAGCATTAGGAGCCCACATCATATTTTATCATTTAGAATTAACTTTTCAATTATCTAACCTACCTGAAAAAGTAAATGATGAGTATACACCCTCATAGAAAAAAAAATTGACTTAAAAAATACATGCAAATGGTCAGACATCAGAATGAGAACTAAGTGAAAAAGAAAGTGTATGACGATATGTAATTTACTTAATGACAGGTAATACACAAATGAAAGGCAAATTAAAGGCTTATTATGATGCATGCACAGTCAAGAAGTGATGGTAACAGGAACATTCAGACCACTCTTGTCTCTCACCTCTTCTCAGTCAGGTATCAGGGTATTTGAAATGTACTTCTATGTTTCCCTGGTGCATAGCAATTTTACTTTAGCATATAACCACATATGATACATAAACCATAAGTTGAATTCTGAGCACTGTTAAGTGACTACTGTTCAGAAAACAATATCCCTGAGAATCATGAGCAACAATAATTCCAAAGGAAAAATCTCAGCTTTTGTGATGCACCCTCAAATCCCTGAAGCTGCAGGTTTCCTCCAAAAGCCACACATAGCAGCAGACTCATACACAGGCCCTGTGCTCCAAAACTGCAAACTCTGGTGATTCTGAGAGAAAGACACAGCATAAAGGTGCATGTCCTTACCCCTTCCCCAACCTTTTGAATTTGCTGCTATGTAAGTCTTCAAATTACCAAGGAAACAGAGCAGGCATTTGATGCATCCAGCTCTGCGTATCTGCAGGGATGCAAGGAATAACGCGAGGAATAATGCAAGGAATAAGAACACAGTAACTGGTGAAGGACAAGTTAGAGGTTTCAGGCTTTTCAAATCCTGTCTGCTTCCATCATGTGCACCCAGTAGCAGCATTACATGTGTGACAGAGCGTGCTCCTTGGTAACACAGCTTAGCCTGGCTGTTACTGTAGAGGCCCAAAAAAGTCTCTCAGGAAGACGATGGCTTCCTTTCACTGAGGGTCATGTCACAACTCTCTCTCTCCAAGAAGGTCTTGAGAACACTTGCTCCCACTGCAGTTACCCTCACAACACAACACCCACTGCTCTACCCACACTCAACGAGCTTCAGATAGAAAACATAACAATCTGTAGCAAGATAAGGGTCTGACAGTGAAAGTTATTATTTTAGCTTAAAGGCAACTTTGCTAAAACCTGCTCATGCTTCAATAATTCCTCACCAATCAACAGAATGTAGCGTAAACAAGACACAAAAAAAAGGGGAAATGGAAAGAGGAAATGGACAGAATTTATTTAGCAGCTGCCATCACTACACAAGTCAAAGAAGTGAAGAAATAAAACAAGGGCAGTTAGGCCAGTTGAGACTAGGTGCCAAAAGATTTGGAAGGGGCTCAGACCCCGAACACAGCGCAGCAGAGGACTTCTTTGGTGGTGGTAAGAAGAAAGGGAATAAAACTTGCAATTCATGTCAGCAGTAGTCACTAATATAAGGCAAGAGAAATCAATACATCAACTCTCAGCACCCCTTCTACAGGAGAATGAAACTCAGAATGGAGCACAACTCAAGGGCTAGATAAACCAGCTAAGATTTGGCAATCATCTCCATACTGATGCCATACATTTGAATATAGACATGTCTCAGTGCTCAAAATTCTTTTGATTATCCATATGACACTCACACTCTCTAAGGCATAAGGAAAAAGAAATAATTTTCCTTGTTGTTTTATGATGCATTCCATATTAGAAATGTGCCAGGGAAATAAGCTTTCCTTCAACCTAAAATAAAATTTCTTTCAAAGAAGTCTTCCTGTAGGTCTTCCTACACAGCCCTCCTGCTCTTGGAATAATTATGACTAATCAGAAACTGAAACAAAACCTAGTTGGAGGTATAAATTTTACCATAACCAGATTTTGAGGCTAATTGTGAAATTTATTTTTCAATTTTTAATTAAGTTGCTTCTGTTGACAAACAGTTTTGTACTATTCATATTTATTCATATTATTATATTTAGCTACCAGCACTATGCCTCTCTCAGGACTGTGAAGTACTGTTTACAACTCAGCATCCTGGGGAGCGACAGCCACATAACCACAACAGGGCAGAGGTCCCTGCAGGCCTGGGACGGCGATGCTCCGTGCAGAGTCTGCACGGCACAACGCAGCCACCACAAGCTGGTTTTTGGCAACCGAGGTAGCCAAGTTCCAGCCAACTCAGCTGCTTCCAAACAGCCAGCAATGCCTCTGTTCACAGTGCAGGTAAGGTAATAATTCTAGCGGCAAAGATTATTTTAAGTAATCATTTTATGTTTACTTGCTTACTCTTCCGGGCCCTTCACCTGGCATGTAAACCGCCATACACAAGACATTTCACCATCAAGCCAAAGCCTCCCCTACTGCCTGTCCTATCGCTTCCATAGAGGCAGCAGCCAAACAGAGTCAGAAGTGCAACTGTTATTTTTTAGTCCAATCTCCTTGCTCTTCACTTCACGGGCCCTCTGCACCTATTCCAGAGCGCTGCCGTGTCACCGCTCCCTCCCCAAGTTCCGTCTGTCTGTGTGCTACAGCTGTCCGCTCTTTATTCCCTACACCTTCCCTTCCCTCGGGGGGTCAGCGTCGTTTCCCCCCAGGCTCCCGGGAGCAGCCGGGGCTCCAAGGCGACCGCCAGCGTGCTCCACCCGCGGCACTGTCTTTCGGCCACTACCACCCCCGGCCAGCGCTCACCCAGACCCTGCCCCGCTCCGCGGCCACTCACGGGTAGAAGCTGAGCTTGCGTTGGTCCTTGGCGCTCTGGCCGCCGCGGTTCTTGCAGCGGGTGGCGGCGCAGTACCGCGGCATGGCGGCACCGCGGGCCGGGGAAGTCAGGCAGGCGGCGGACAAGGGCCGCGGCCGCCGGGTGAGGGCTCCGAGAAACTGGAAGGTTGCTGAAGTGGGTGGAGTGAAGGCGAGCGCGAAGGGGTCGGGAGGGGGGCGCTGGGAAGCTTGGGGCAGCGTGGGAACCTAGGCGGGGGAGCGGAGAGAGGGGACACTGGGGCTCGGTGCGGAGCATTAATTTGGAATTTGGGCCTCTCCGGGCCGCGCTGCGGTGGTGTTTCCCAGCCTGGCTGCATTGGAGGGGGGACAGCAGTGGCTGTTAGCGGCTGCCCAGCTCTGGCCTGGCCCCGCCCGGTGGTGCGGTCCGGCTCCAGAGAGGTCTTGAGGGGTCTGGTAGTAGGGTGATGCCAGGTTGATTCCTTCGTTTCCCTGTGCTCCAGGGCAAGATTCAAGAACCTTCTTCTGTATTTGCTTTTGAGTCAGTGTAGGAGAGGCCAAGACAAGTACAAGCCCCTCCGTTTGGCAGACTTGCCTGTAGCTGCTTGAGGACTGGAACACTTGCTTACTCATCAGATTAGTCGTGGTAGGAGAACCGAGAAGACCTTGGAGACTTTATTACTATTAGTAAATTGCTTGCAGAAATAATTACAGGACGTGAGCATTCCACAGGTTGTTGTATAGCAATTCTGTAATGAAAGCAGTAGCAGAGCACTAGTGATGCACTGTGTTCTCTGAGTATGTGAGACTTTGAATGTAAGCATTTATCCAAGATTTTGGTTAATTACTTTCAAAGAACGATGGAATAGGGCATTTGTGTTGCAAGGATTAGCTTCTTTTCTAAATCTGACAGGTTTTATTCTAGGTACATCATCCTCAAACATTGCTTCATTGTGCGGGTGTTGGTAAATGTTGATAAACTAATGAAGAACTGATTGTTATTGCCTCTGCAGTACTTTGGATAAACATTAGATAGTGCACTTCTTATACAAAGGTGAGCAGTAGTTGAGATCTGTACCTGCTCACCCAAGAGAATTAAATAGTTATTATGTGGCGTAAGGTCTCTTACTTCATTGACATATGTACCTAAATTAAGTATATAGATAATTATTAGAAGAGCTCATTAATGCATGAGCTTAATGCGTACAGAGTTTATTGAATTCTGGAATGGTTTAAGTAGCTGCAGTGTATGATCTGGAAAGTGCAACTTATATATCCCTTTTTGATTGACAAACAGAGGGTGAAGAGACAAGCAAAAAAAAGTATTTAAGAGACTTTCTTTTGAAAAGGGTTGTAAAAATAGCTTGGAATGGCAAGGCTGAAGTAGTTGGCAGTAGCAACGCTAAGATACTGATAGCATATAAAACAGGTGTTTTCTAAAAAGTAAATCCAATAAATGACAGTATCTAAATATAAGACTTGCTCTCTCTGATAACCCTGTGAAGTTTAAAATGCTGCTTATACTGGAGTTTTATTTGTATTTGGTTTTTATTTACATCTTAAATTTGATTTTGATTTGTTCAAGGGCAGCATTAAATCTGTGTTTGCTAGTTTAAAAAATTGTGAAACTTAAGTCCCGTTTTTTTACTATGCTTTAGAAATCAAATATAGCACAGAACTCCTAAGGTAAAGAACTGTAGAAAAAGAAAAATTCAGGTGTACTTTGTTATCAAAAATAGTACAAGTTGAGATGATGAGCCAGAGCAGAAGACCTGAAGGACTAACTTGATGATCTCTGGCTCTCATGACTTATGAAAGAGAGTTTTGCTCTTAATGGAGGACATGAACTGTTCCTTTTAGCTCTTCTCAGTGTTCAGGAGTAGAAGCAGGATGGTTGACCTTAAGAGAGTGCAGCAGGTGATTTTGCAAGCATGATGCATGTGTGGGTTAATGAAGTAAGTTAAAACAATCATATGTGTGAGATGAACACATAAGTCTGCATCTATAAAGCACAAACAGGAAGAAAGCCCTAAAAGCATGGAAGAAGGTACATGTGTGTAGTTCTTAGTGCCCAAGCAGTAAAATATCAGGTTAGTTAAGTGGTGAGAGAAGATATGTAGGAGAACTTGGTACTAAAAATATGTCTGATATTGTGCATGGAGAATACTGGAAAGAACTATCCATTTGGTATCTAAGTACACTGATCAAAATACAATTTGTTTCAACTGCTTCCCCTTAACACTTGATATCATCCAGGCTGCTGGCCAAATAAATGCTTAAGAGGGCATGGGTAGATTAATCTTGCAGGCCTTTTGGTCTTGTCTCACAGCATTCATTTTAGCCCTCTGACTTGCCTATTAGAAATGGTATTCTTTTTTCCAGTTTTGGTTCTTTTTAATTTTGTTTAGAGGAAATTCACTTGCACATAAATGTTTAATTTTCATATGTATCAGATATTCAAAGGTTTTGAATTCTGGCTGGCAAAAACTGCTGGCTAGCAAAAGTGTTCTGACTTTAATGGTGCTCAGACTGTAAGTTTGTTTATTCACCTTTGAGGAAAGTAGCACCAACCGTCTCTGAGTTGTTCTTACATTACATTTAAATCAGTGTAATCTGGTGGGGGGACATTTTACATCTGGAATGTTGTACAGGGTCTTGTTGTACTCCTTCTGGTCAAGTGTCAGCCAGCATTCTGTCTTTGAGCATTTGCCTTTCTGCACTCTGTTTTAAATATAATATGCAAAGGCATGTTATCTGTTCTCACCTTCTAGTAGGAACAGCTCACTCTGTCCTTTATGAAAATCATGAGATCTCATGTGGCTATGTGGAACTGCTTAAGCCATTGATATATGCCACAATTTCCCCCTAAGTTCTCATATATTTGTTTCAAAATATATTTTTGACAGATGAGTTGCTGAAAAAAATTACAGCTTTTAATTATTGTTGAAGCTATTTGTCATGTATAAAAGACTTTTTTTTGCCTTTAGTTCTAACACTGAGGGTTTCATATGTAAACCTTTTTATGCAGTGATATTTATCAGATGAATTTTTTAATATCAAAGATATGGTAGGTGTTGTCCTTTATAAAGCAATCTGATATGCAGATGAGCTAAGTCAGCCTGTTGTTAAATAGAGGAAAGTGTGCTTTACTTGGCTGAACTCTGGAAATGAATGATCTGCTCTTTATCATGTTCACCTTAGGGGGGTGAAACAAACTGAACCGGAGCATGAGTGTCAGCCTTGTCTTCCTGCACCTCACGGTCACCTCTAGGCCAGTTGTATTTTCATGCTCCTGTTGTTGCACCAGCTAATTGGTGACTCGGTCTTCCAGTAGGGTCAGGTTTTGCAGCCTCTGCTTAATTTAGGGGTACTCTGTTTGTAGTCCTAGAACTCAAGATTAATGGAAAGCTAGTTCAGGTATGGCAGTGTGAAATGTTAGATGCAATGGAATGGGCTGTGTATTTACTTTTGCAACTTTGTATGACAATGATCCGTTAAGTGTAAAACAAAGACGGACACTAAAGTGGTTAGCATATGAAATGTCACTTTGCAGTATTTTCACTTAGGTATTCTGTGCATATGAAAACAGCGTGATAGAGTTTGACAGGTGTAAACAGTGTGCTTACAAGTCTGCCATTGACTCCTGTACCATGCTGGTCTTCCTCTGCCAGCCTACAGCTGTAACTAAGTTGTTGTGGAATGTAAAATAACTTGTTCTTCGTGTATATTTCCTTTTGTTTTTAGGAACTGGAGAAATGGCTACTACACAATCTGTCTTCACATTTGCTCTCTGCATTTTAATGATAACAGAATTAATACTGGCTACAGAGAGCTATTATGATATCTTAGGAGTTCCAAAAAATGCATCTGACCGCCAGATTAAGAAGGCATTTCACAAGCTGGCTATGAAATACCACCCAGACAAAAATAAGAGTCCTGGAGCAGAAGCAAAATTTAGAGAAATTGCTGAAGGTAATATACACTGTGTTTGGTCATAATTTGATATGTGTCTTACATCTATAAACTATGTGCATTTTGTTTTAACTGAATAAGAGGCATAAAGGGTTTTTTTTTCTGAATCCCACTTAAGTACTGCATCAAAATCTGAGTTGTTTCTGTGTTCTTGCAATAGGAAGGCCTTTTACACAGTTTATGCATTTCTGCTTAGTAGGCTTTTGGCGTATTCTCACAAAAAATACTTAGTAGTAGAACAGCTTTAGGCCTAGGAGGTTAATTTTTACTTTTTCATCTTTTTCATAAGATCTGGCTCAGGATTACTACCAGGGCTTCAGGAGGGCCTAACAGCAACCTTGCAGTTACCATGGGGAGATTATTAGAAAACATGCAGCAGGTGCTTCAGTGGGTCATGGTGGAAATGCAGTAGACAACAGGAGCAAGAGGTTCAAGTGGTTATAGGGAAAAACTTTTTCACCTTGAGGATAATGGTTGGATTTGAGGATCTCGGAGTTCTTTTCCAGTCTTAACAATTCTGGTCTACAGGCCAGTGTTAGAGCAGATTACCTAGAGAGGTTGTACAGTCTCCAATTTGGACACTTTTCAGGAATGACTGGGTAAAGTGATGGCAAACTTAGTCTGATCTCGTGACTGACCCTGCTTTGAGCAGGAGGTTAGAGTAGAGACTGAGGTCACGTCTAACTTGAACTACCTCTGATCCTACAAATATAACACTTATAAGTATTGTCTGGTAAAATTGTGCAAGTGCATAATCAAGAACAGAAAGACTTGCTGAAAAATAAGGTATACCTGCTTCTATTCCCTGTAGACCCATGTATAACATCCATCTATTTGTGTAGTTCTCTTAACTAAGCTAAATGGGATTTCTGGCATTTACCTTGTCTGCAGAAGAGTTCTTTTGAAAGAAAAGTAATGAGTAATATAATGAAAGAGTGACAAGCCTCATTAGATACTACTGTTGTTAGCACCTACTACAGGAGAAGTAGGAACTCTTAAATGTTGAATTATATAGAATAATTGCAAATCTTTGACAGGTAAGAAAATGATTTTTTAAAATATTTAGTTATCAGAATGGGTGCATTTTCTAGCAGAGTTTCTGCCTGGGAATACCAGTAGCTGTAGTTCTAAAC